ATTTCTTCTTTTCTATCAGTGTTAACAAAGCTTTCTTTCTTTCTTTCTTTCTTTCTTTCTTTCTTTCTTTCTTTCTTTCTTTCTTTCTTTCAAGGTGCACAAAGGAAGTTACAAAACATAGAATTCAATCAAAGCCTGAAGGAAAGAAGAAAAAAAGTTACCTATTAATTTCTAAATGATTTCTTTCTTTCTTTCTTTCTTTAAAGGTGCACAAAGGAAGTTACAAAACAAAGAATTCAATCAAAGCCTGAGGGAAAGAAGAAAAAACAATTACCTATTAATTTCTAAATGGCAACCCCCAAAAGACCACTAAGTCTTGGATGTAATATTGGATTGCTACGTTCCTGAAATTATCTCATGCTTTAGCTAAGTAAATGAAGGTGTGGCTAGCAAGCTAATCAAAGCATAATAAGTAAAAACTTTAATTACAGAAGCTGAGGCTCTGTTTCTTAATCAGTAATGGCAAACCTTTCTTTCTTTCTTTCTTTCTTTCTTTCTTTCTTTCTTTCTTTCTTTCTTTCTTTCGAGATGACTTAAAGGTGATGGATAGTAGGTAGACTTAAGGGCATACAATGTAGCTTCTTCTTAGCCATCAATCACCCCCTCCTAAAGTGACTAGAAAACATGAGTGGACAGCTAAGATGCCATTGGACTACAAGGACAGAAATATTACTTTTTTGGACTACATTTCTCAGAATATCCCACAGGTCATGTTGGTTTAGGAATAAAGAGAACTATAATTCAAGGTTGTTTTCCCAAGCTGTAGCTGGACTACAATTTCCACTGGCCCCAAGCCAGCGTAGCCTATGATGAGGGTTGCTAACAGCTGGAATACCACAGTTGCCCATTCTTTCTATAAAAGTTGAAATCCCTGTTGAAGGACAGGTAAACATATTTACATGTAGCATGGCCCTCAGTTGAGAGCTCATGCATTGCACACAGATTCTAGGTTTAGTTCCTACCATTTCCACTTCAAGGGTCTCAGCTGTCAGATGACAAAGACCTTTGTCCAAGGGTGTTCTGGTGAGTAATCACCAATAAAGTAGACCAAAGGCTCTCAAACTTGTCTACAAGCCATTGGTGACCTGAGAACCCATTCAGTTGATGTACAGAAAAGCAATATTACAGCTGATAATCACTAGATTTAAAGATGCTGACCCGGGGGTTGTGATTTTCTTAACAAATTGCACTGAGGCCGCATTAATTTTTTTCTCTTTAAATTAGCCAGGCCAAAGGGCTTTTCTTGGTTTGTGGTTGATATGTCCAGCTATCATGGTGACTTTATGAATCAATGACCTCCTAAAGGCTCAGCTCAGATTCAGTACACTCAGTTACGTCTTCCTTATTGAACCAATTCATCTTATATTCAGCGTTTCCTGTTTTCCTGCCTTCCATTTTTCCTTCCATTATCCCAGCTAAGAGCTGATGTATTTCACGCTATAGCACTAATTTCCACTATTTATGCTGGTGTGCAAAAATATTATTAAAACATATGGTTTGTACAGGGGCAGCTTATGGTCAAAACACACTGTAGCTCATCCCAGAATTTCAGGGTAGGCACACAAACCACACTCCTGCTTTAAGACAACAACTCATCTATGTTTGTGTATGTATTTTTAATTGCAACAAGAAAGAATACATTAAGGGCTACCACCCTGCTTCCAAACGATCCATAAAGATGGGGTGATTCATCGCGGGAGATGATCCTGGACTCAGTGAATCAATTAGTTGTGAGAATCAGGCAGCTTCATTATGTTTCTTATAATTTGTCTTTGCATTACCAGTTTGTCCACATTTTACCGTGTAAACCCAACTTTTTTAACAGTTCCATTTCATTGCTAACTTGGATCTTGATCATTCAGTTTTTGCTTCTGTTTCTGCAGCAAAGCTCACTTGATACAAGTTTCCCCAATGTTTTAATGGACTCTTTCTTGCAGTTGAAGCCAGTTCTAAATAAAATACTAAAGCATGAAATATCCATTTCTCCTTATGTTGGAAGCATTGAATATTGCTTCTGCGTTTTTTATTACAGACACAGTTGTACAACAGTGTTTGCTTACTTTTTTCCCCGCTTTGCCCTGTTGAAACAGGTTTTCCCCCATCAGTCAGATGAGATCACAGATTCTTTTTTTTAATTACTGAAAGAACATGGGAAAAACAACAACAAAATAATAATACTGGTCCTTCACATGGAATGTATAATCTGATTTAGCACCCCTGAACAAAATCAAAGTAAACATTAAGAAAAACAATTGCTTCTGCGTTTTTTATTACAGACACAATTGTACAACAGTGTTTGCTTACTTTGTAAGCATCCACACAGATCACAAATTCCAAAGTAGCGTTTATAGGCCAGAATTCCATTTCTAGTTTCACCTAAGACTAGATCCATTAAATCAAATGCTAAATGGTAAATCAACATTTATCATTGATGTAGTGGGTAGAGTAATGGACTGAGACTCAGAGGGCCTGGGTTTGAAACCCCACTCAGCCATCGAAGCTCACTGGGAAACCCAAGGTTAAGAACCAGTGCATTAAATCAAATGCTAAATGGTAAGTCAACATTTATCATTGATGTAGTGGGTAGAGTAATGGACTGAGACACAGAGGACCTGGGTTTGAATCCCCACTCAGCCATAGAAGCTCACTGGGAGTGTGGAACAGGTAAAACCACTCCTTAAACACCTCATTTACCTTGAAAAATGTATTGGGGTTGTTATAGGTCTGTTCTGACTTGGGAGCCCATAACAACAACAACAATAAATACATATTAAATAAGAAATCCTGAGTCTTTTCTGCATTGTATGAAAATGAGGCCAGTAGAGTAATGGACTGAGACTCAGAGGGCCTGGGTTTGAAACCCCACTCAGCCATCGAAGCTCACTGGGAGTGTGGAACGGGTAAAACCACTCCTTAAACACCTCATTTACCTTGAAAAATGTATTGGGGTTGTTATAGGTCTGTTCTGACTTGGGAGCCCATAACAACAACAACAATAAATACATATTAAATAAGCTGAGCTGAGTCTTTTCTGCATTGTATGAAAATGAGGCCACTATCATCCAGCCCTTCACTGCAGAGTGGCTATATACACAATAAAACAGAATTGAATAGCAGATTCTCCAACTTACAAAATAAAATAAAATGTTAACCTGCAGGGATTCATGAGCTGGTTATTTAATATTACACTTATATACCACTGTTCCTGCAATGAGTGCAAAGGTACACTTTCCTCCTGTCCACTTTGTCCATTAAGCCCCTGTGGTTTAGGTGGAAAGTGGGTGACTGGCTCAAGGACACCCCTGTGTTTAATGTCCAACTGGAGACTAACCCTGGTCTTCTGAAAAGGATTTGTACTTATTCAGAAATGGGGATCGGTCTGTTGCATCTTTGTTCCAAAATGCTTTGCTAGATCTACGTTTAACTATAGCCCTCTTCAGTTGTTTGAAACTGTGGTGAATACTCAAGCACCAAGGGGAGGTGCTTTAGGTTTAACCTCTTCATCATCACTTCCATCACTGAATGGACCACACTGAGTCTGAAGAAAGAGAACTCTCTGCATGGCAAGACTCTGGAAAGGCTAGGTGTAAGCTCAATGAGTTAAGTACCCAGCCGTGAAGCCAGAGACTGGGAGTTTAATTCCTCATTGTGGGCCCCAGAGACAAGTCAGCCTTTGTGGCCCCATTGGGCAAGCTGCACAGTCCCAGGGCTTCACCTCAGAAGAAAGGAATGGTAAACCACTTCTAAATACAGTATGCACAGAAAAACCTGGAAAAAGTTGCCATGGGTTGGAATCAACTTGATGGCACATTATTATTATTAAGTATTCTCCTCAGCATGAAATGGCTGAATAGGGCTTATTTCATTGGTAAACCACTTCTAAATACAGTATGCATAGAAAAACCTGGAAAAAGTTGCCATAGGTTGGAATCAATTTGATGGCACATTATTATTATTAAGTATTCTCCTCAGCATGAAATGGCTGAATAGGGCTTATTTCATTCTCTCTAGAATCACCATCTTGAGACTCTATATAAGCTAAATTACAGATCTCATTGCCACAACATCTGGATGAATTTTTAAACTTTTGTTTCTTCCTCCACCTCCAGGAACTGCGTAGGCTGAGAAAATGTTCCTGAGGTCTGGAAAGCTTGCAAACTCTCTTGGGCTACTATGGTCGGCCAAATAAAAGTATTGCCCAACTTTGATTTATGATATATATTTAATGAGAATAGAAAGTGCTTAACCCTCCTGACAGTCTTTTTTTCCCTATAGAGCCCTCTTCACTCAGTTGCTCTTCCTTCCCACTGCTTGTGTTTTACCTCAAATATGAATCTGTACATGAAAGCCATAAGTAGCACATTGACTAAAGCAGTTGACCTCCCTGTCCCCGAAATAGGAAGGCAAGCCTTGCCCTACTTGGAGGCAATGTGGGTGAGAGCAGTTGAGTGCTTATATTGGTGGTGCTATCATGAGAAAAATGGCTGGCGAGAAAAGGATTCAGCCCTTCCTCCTAATCCTTAGCTGCTGCAAAGCACACCCTTGTGAGGATGCTCTGCAATGGAAAAGGAGTTGAGGGGCTGACATCAAACACAACTGCTGTGGAACATGTTGTTTTCCCGCTGAATTAGTATTCTAACCTGGAGTTTCTCTAACTAGTCACAACCACAATTCAGTAGCAACTGAACTGCATTATTCATATTAATGCAGCTAGAAGTATTTAAACCGTTGTTATCTAAACAATCTTTACTATCGAAAATTACTATAGACTCAGTTCCAAACTTCATCTTCCCGTGATGATGGAGGATGTCACTCCTAAGCCAGTTGGCTCCAAGAGCTTGCATAGAATGGTATTCTCTTTCTGTATTGGATGCACATGTTGTACATTTAATATAGCATGAGCTATTGCAAAAGACTTTTAATAACTGAGTATTATAGGAGTCATGCATTCAGAACTGTGAAAAGACTCTTTGGCATAGTTTCAGTTTACTCACCATATGTTTGTTCCTGGCTGATTCAAACATGTAGATTTATATCCAATTATAATCCCATTGTTTTATTATTTGCACACACGGGAGCTTGTCTAACAAGTATGTTTCCTTTCCTGGAAAAGAATGTTTATGTTTACATATCTTATTGCTTAAGGCCATTCTGTGCTTCTTTTCTATTAATCATTCTGCCTGGGATGAATTACCTTTAATATAAACTGAGTCTTCAGGCCTGTTCTAATGCATATGCAATTGGGAAGATTGCATATGCAATCCTGAAACCATATAGTTGTGTGTCCATAGTTATCTGTTCCCTGGGGGCCATATTCTGTACCACAAGTACCTGTACAGAGGCAGACAGATGTAGACATCTTCATTCCTACTGCACTAACTCCTGCCCCAATGGAGAGCTATCTTATGCCTACACTGAAGTCTCGATCTTGTTTTAGTACTACTGTCCTCTCCGCAACAAACCAATGAAGAGTCCTCTGGCATTTTAAAGACTAGCAGATTTATATAGCAGGAGGTAACAGATTTATTATAGCTACTTTGAGGACATTCCCCATCCACAGGAAACGCTGAAGCTTTAGTGGACTAAGGAATATGGAACACAATTATCACTGTTTGTTCAACAAACTATAGGTGCCTTACTTCTGGCCTTTTCTTCAGTATATTGCTTATTTATTCTCTTTATGTTACCTTGATCAGATAAAATGTTCCCTGACTGAGATTTAAATTTCTTGGAACTGACAGAAAATACACTGTATCACAGAAGTGATACACCCTCACATTTCATAAATATTTTAGTATATCTTTTCATGTGACAACACTGAAGAAATGACACTTGGCTACAATGTAAAGCAGTGAGTATACAGCTTGTATAACTGCAAATGTGCTGCCCTCTCAAAACAACGCAGCGCACAGCCATTAATGTCTAAACTACTGGCAACAAAAGTGAGTACACGCCTAAGTGACAATGTCCAAACTGGGCACAAAGTGTCAATATTTTGTGTGGCTACCATTATTTTCCAGCACTGACTTAACCCTCTTGGGCATAGAGTTCACCAGAGCATCACAGGTTGCCACTGGAGTCCTGTTCCACTCCTCCATGATGCCATCATAGAGCTGGTGGATGTTAGAGACCTTGCGCACCTCCACCTTCCATTTCAGGATACCCCACAGATGCTCAATAGGGTTTAGGTCTGGAGACATGCTTGGCCAGTCCATCACCTTTACCCTCAGCTTCTTTATCAAGGCAGTGGCCATTCTGGAGGTGTGTTTGGTGTCGTAATCATGTTCAAATACTGCCCTGTGGTCCAAGCTCTGAAGGGAGGGGATCATGCTCTGCTTCAGTATCTCACAGTACATGTTGGCATTCATGGTTCCCTCAATGAACTGTAGCTCCCCAGTGCCGGCAGCACTCATGCAGCCCCAGACCACGACACTCCCACCACCGTGCTTGACTCTAGGCATGACACCCTTGTCTTTGTACTCCTCACCTGGTTGCTGCCACACATGCTTGACACCATCTGAACCAAAGAAGTTTATCTTGGTCTCATCAGACCACACGACATGGTCCCAGAAATCCATGTCCTTAGTCTGCTTGTCTGCAGCAAACCATATGAGGGCTTTCTTGTGCATCATCTTTAGAAGAGGCTTCCTTCTGGGGCAACAGCCCTGGAGACCAATTTGATGCAATGTGTGGTGTATGGTCTGAACACTGACAGGCTGACCCCCACCCCTTCAACCTCTCAAAGCCAACCTCTGGATCTGATGCTGAGCACGGACACATAACCTCTTTGGTCGACCATGGCGAGGCTTTTTCTGAATGGAACCTATCCTGTAAAACTGCTGTATGGTCTTGGCCACCGTGCTGCAGCTCAGTTTCAGAGTTTCGGCAATCTTCCTATAGCCTAGGCCATCTTGATGTAGAGCAACAATTCATTTTTTCAGATCCTCAGATACCTCATTACCCTGAGTTGCCAAGTGGAACTTCCAGTGACCAGTCTGAGAGAGTGATAGCGAGAACACTTGCTCCCCCTTCACACCTGAGACTTGTGACACTAACGGGTCTCATGGCACCAGGAAGGGAAAACGGCTACTTGGGCCCAATTTGGACATTGCCACTTAGGGGTGTACACACTTTTGTTGTCAGCGCTTAGACATTAATGGCTGTGTGTTGTGTTATTTTCAGGGGACAGCACATTTACACTGTTATACAACCTGTATACTGTACTCACTGCTTTACATTGTAGCCAAGAGTCATTTCTTCAGTGTTGTCACATGAAAGGATGTACAGGGGTGCCTCGCATTTCGACATTAATTCATTCCGCGAAATCACTGTAGAACGAAAACATTGTAATGCGAAAATAAAAAGCCCATTGAAACGCATTGAAACCCCTTCAATGTGTTCCAATGGGCTGGAAACTCACTGTCCAGTGAAGACCCCATGGGGCGGCCATTTTCGGAGCCTGTGCAGCAAGGAATCCGTCCCAGAAAACAGTGGGGAGCCATTTTATTTAACCACCAATCAGCTGGAGGAAAATCGTCATTCTGTGAAGAATCAGTTCCCGAAGCAGGGAACCAATCATTGCAAAGCGAAAAAACGCCATTCAGACCATCGTTTTGCGATCGCAATTTCGATCACAAAAAATCAGGCCATTTTCGGAGCCTGTGCAGCAAGGAATCCGTCCCAGAAAACAGTGGGGAGCCATTTTATTTAACCACCAATCAGCTGGAGGAAAATCGTCATTCTGTGAAGAATCAGTTCCCGAAGCAGGGAACCAATCATTGCAAAGCGAAAAAACGCCATTCAGACCATCGTTTTGCGGTCGCAATTGCGATCACAAAAAATCATCGTAATGCAGGACAATCGTAAAGCTAGGCACCACTGTACTGTACCAAAATATTTATGAAACATGAGGGGGGTATACTCACTTCTGTGATATACTGAAAGTGGTGCCCCGCATAGCAAGGTTAATCTGTTCCGGATTAACCCTCGCTATGAGGAAACATCGCTAAACGGGACGCGAAAATGCATTCCAATGGCTTCTATACTCACCGTTAAGCGAAGTTTCCTCATAGCGCTGCCATTTTCACGCCCTCGGTAAGTGAGGGCAGGGTGTGAAAATGGTTGCGATGGCCATTTTGGGTCGTCCGGTGGCCATTTAGGAGCCGCCGAACAGCTGATTTCCCGGCGTCGCACTGCGAAGATCGGTAAGCGAAACGCTTACTGATCTTCGCAATGTGAGTTTTGGCCAGAGGCCATCGGTGAGCGATCGCATTAGCAATCTCAAAAAAGAGATCGCTATGCGATTTCATCGTTATACGGTGCGCTCGTTAAGCGAGGCACCACTGTATAGTGTTCTTTCCTGGTTTGGTCGTCCCTTTTTATTTCTTTCAAATGATTATTTTAATAGTTTTCTTTGTCTTTAGGCACAAATCACTGAAAGTTATTCTTGGGATTCCAAGTCTATTTCTCTCTCCTTTTACTTTAATTCTGCCCTCTCCTTAACAATTTTAAAAGTTCATCACTTATCCATTAACACTTTTATGTTGACCACAGGACCAGTATCTTTGTATTCTTCCTTGACAATGTTTTTTTTTTCCAGTCTACAATTCCCATGGTTCACAGTCAGCTGAAATTTCTTCTTTACATGGTCTTTAAATTCTCCAGGACTGTAATTTAAATTGGCATTTTGATTGTTCTAATATTCTTCTTCAGCTTTACTCCTATATTTGATAGTAAAAATTTCCTCCTGGACACCTAAAAGCCTAAAACCTTTCAATTTCTTCTGCTTCAGTAACTGTAGCTGGAACATAGACTTGAATGATAATTCTGTTGAGAGGCTTTCAATGAATTCTGAATTATTAATCAAACAGGTTTCACATTATAGCACATAACATCTCGCTCTTTGTTTTACAGCCACATTGTTTCTTCTGAATTTGTCATTTGCGTAGTAAAGAATTTCATGATTATTTGATTGAAAATGTCCTATTCTAGTCTCCTTCAGTTTGTTTACCCCAAATATTATAATGTTTAAATATTTCATGTTCTTATTTTATAATTTTTAGCTTACCTTAAGTTATACTTGAATGTTTCATGTTCCAAGTGTATGAGTCATTCAGCACTGTTTGTCTCTGCACATATCAGCCAAACATTATTTCAACTTTAATCCAGTTGCTTCATTGGTAACACAGCTCTTGGCAGCATCCAGTCTACTGATAATATTGCTCACAGCTTCTTCTGAAATACTTCAAACCTTCTTGTTAAATTAAGATGTGCATCCTTGAGGCATAAAGTATGCTGTTGCAGAGTTTTGAATTTCTGGTAAAGTTCCTTTTTGCTATGCAGAGAACCACAGAGGTGAATAACTTCAAGATCCCCAAAGTCCACTCCTTTTTAATTAACTGGCATTTACGGTCTCAGTAACTCACTCTGAGACATTTGTATTAGAATGAATAAAAAACATTTCTTCACTTACAGTTGCTTGAAATTGCAGACATTAGTTCACACATACTGACAACCAACCAAACAAACAAATCAACAGTAACAAACAACTTCCTCCAATAGATGAAAGAGAGGAAAAGGAACACTCAGCAAAGAGATAGGACTCTCTTTGAATTCAAAGGCTGAAAAGCATGGTTGGTTAGTGTTAGATAGACAATCACCCCAGCCCAGAAAGGTCCTTCCCAGTTACACAAATTACAGACAGCATGCAAGGTTACAAACAAAACTCCAGCATATACTGCAACTCCTACTGTAGGTGATACATAGTCACTGTGAATAGTTTCCACTGATGGCCCCAGGCTCCATCAAATCCCATTTTAAAGCCATCCAAGCTGGCTTTAAGTATATCTTGTGGCAATGAATTTCAAAGTTTATGCACTGTATGAAAAACTGTCTTTTATCTGTCCTCAGTCCCATTCATCTTAGGTAATTCTAAGTTCCAGAGTTAAGGAGTGATGAGAAAAGTTTCCCCCACATCTACTTGCTCCACACCATGCGGAATGTTACATACCTCTATAATGCCTTCCCTTCCTTGTCTTTTTTGTAAGCTAAACAACTTCCAACATTCTAATGGCTTTCCTTTTTTAATTGTAAAAAAATGTGGAATTTGTCTCTTTTTTGTTTTTTTCAAAAACAGCAACCATAAAACAAATCAACACTTGTAATCTATTCTCCACTCTTTTTTCTTTCTATATTGGCTGCACAGATTGAATTCAGCTGTATAGGTTCCTTAGGGGGGGAAACGGAGGGAATTTCTTGGAGGTGGGGTGTAAGCTGAGGTCAGAGTTTTGCTGTATCATAACATAGTTTTGTTCTCTGAACAGGTATTATGAAGAGTTCTTATGAAACATAGAAGTCCAGAAAGAAAGGGAAGGGAAGGGAAGGTTGGGAAGGGAAAATAAATGCAAATTAAAGCCATCTGTGCTGGAGAAGAATGGATGTTGAAAGCCTCATTCCTGGCACTGGATATGACTGAACACTTTGAAATGGAGCAATGGTCAGAAATCATTATTACTGGCTGTTAAGTATCAGCATTGAAGGAGCCAGACTGCCTGCCGTTGAAGGTCTCACGTAACAAACAGGAGAGGGCATTGTTTACAGAGTCACACATTTCAAAAGAGAATCCTACTACTCCTCATGGCTCAAGAATAAAGTTTAAAGCAGTAATCTTTTGAACTTACACCTGGCTATCCAAAAAGTGACTTTTTTGAGCTCTGGCAGGAGTTTATTTGGGGAGAAGTTAATGGGAGGTCTGGACTCGATGGATAGTCTGTACAGGGCCTGTCCAGATGGGGGAATTTGGAGTGGCCTGGTTCACAATTGAAAGATTCTCATTTTTGGTGCAATCTATTTTCTCAATGGTTATTGGAACTGTGCTACGTCAGTTAGGGAAATATATAAAAAAGAAGACGACAAAAATAGAGGAAGGGTTCCTCCATCCCATCTTCTAATGTATCAGCTAGCTTTAAATACAATACAACCCACCTATAATGTCACAGTATTGTCACCTCAGATAATGCCATCCACAGCTCCATTTTTAGTATGTACTAACTGTATGCAAAGAATACACAATGAGATAATTAGGATCGCACTAAGTCATACCAAAAAGAATATATGTCTTAGCGCTGTACCAGAAAAGTACTCAAAAACTCTTAAAGGAACAGGATGGATTAAACTCAGTAGAAACATGTGTAGATGCCACCATTTGATTCAAATCAAACTGTACCAACAGCAATCCATATACCAATCTATGTGCCAGTCTGGACAGGCCCTTAAGACTCATTCAGCGATACTCAGGGACATGGTGTCATAGGGTAAACCTACAGCTTTGCAGTTCATAAAACATATGGCCGTGTTCACCTCCGTTCTTGCCCAGCTGTCCCTGAATCAGGACCCTCCCAAGATACTTTGTTCCCTAAAGCAGGGCAGCGCATTGCACATACTCCCAATATATCCAGGGGAAGTTGCAGTGTATAAAAAGCTAACCAAGTTCTTTATTTTTACCTTCCCTCTATTCCTTACTTTAAAAATCCTTAAAACAACTAGCAACTTACTGCCTATCATGGTATCAAAAACCTGTTGCCTCTCTCTGCCTAACGATAAAGGTAAGGTTCCCCTTGACATTTAGTCCAGTTGTGTCCGATTCTAGGACATAGTGCTCATCCCCATTTCCAAGCCATAGAGCCAGCGTTTGTCCGAAGACAGTTTCCGTGGTTATGTGGCCAGTGCAACTAGACATAGAATACCGTTACCTTCCCACTGTGGTGGTACCTATTTATCTACTCACATTTTTACATGCTTTGGAACTGCTAGGTTGGCAGGAGCTGTGACAAGCGACGGGAGCTCACTCCATCACATGGATTAGACCTTACGACTGCTGGTCTTCGCATCTTGCAGCAGAGAGGCTTCTGCAGTTTAACCCACAGCGCCACCACAATAAGGGTAGTCCTGTCCTATAAGCAGATGCTTTTAAAAAAACTGTACTTGGATCCTGCTTAGTATTTTGTGTTGGCCTGTATGTCTAACAAAAATGGCAGAATAATACTGGAGCTAAGAACAAAGTCCTTGCCCACTCATTATTTTTCTTTCTGTTGCAGCAACATGACCTAATAAAGTAACATAGTCAACAGATGTCCAATTTTCTACTCTTGCTTTTTAATCCCCAAAGTTTTCTACTAACAATACAATAAAGTTTTGGACACTCACAAACCCTAAACCCCCTGTCTCTTATTTTTGCTTCCTGTCTTTCCTGGCCGTGGAAACCACCTTGGGAATGGCATGACAAAAGCCAGGAGACAATGGACAAGAAAGTGGTAAAGGCTGATCAGGTCCAGAATGTAGTGTCTCGGGCTTTATGGCAGCAAGCCTCTTGCTCTGCAAGAGCAAAAATTTACCACATGCAGACTTCATGGTCATGGGTAAGGACTATTTTCACAGCCGGCTCTATGTGTTTTGTTTGGAGAGGGGGAGAAGAATTCTTAAAATGTATACACTCTCTTGAGGAGAAATATAAGGTGGCAGGAAACTGGACTCCGAAACACTTCCCCTCAACCCCCCATAGACACCTCTCTCTCCCCCTCAGCAGCACTGGCAATGATTAGGAATAACAATGCTTGTGGCCTGGAACAGATTGAGTTACACTACATACAGATTAACAGACGGTTAGCAAGCAGAACTCTTCTTACACAACAGGGATGCTGACTTGCATGTGTAAGATTCCTAGATAAACCCAACTTTCTCTTTTTTCTAACATGAAGAAGTCTCTCTTTGATCAGGACCAACGTGCCATAGCTTGCCTATGTTTGCTGGTCAGTCCTCTCTAGAGCAGTGTTTCCCAACGTGGAGGTTCCAAAGTGTTTTCTGGGGTGGCTGGGTCACGGGTCACCCTATGTTTAGTAGCCCTTGATAAATTATTTCTCTCTTTACCTTTCAGGGCAGAATATTAAAGTAAGCATGAGAAACAGGCCCTTTGGGGGGGGGGAAGCCTCTCCTTTCTGAAAAGATATTATTTTACCCCATTAAAAATGCCTTTTTATCTAAATATGGTCATGGGGTTACTTGGCTAAAATAAAAGGAGGGTCATGACTTGAAAAAGATTGGGAACAACTGTTCTAGAGAGCAGCAAAGCCAGCAAAGCTTGACCACCCCTTCCCTGATCCATAATGTATTTACTACCTAAACGCAAAAAGCAAACACACTGTAGTACTGTATAAAGGTGCATGTTGTGCATGCATGTGATACTAACATACCAGTATGCAGCTTTCAGTCGCCGTGAAAAAGTTCCTCTGGTTGTGCTGGGCTGTGTTTTTACAATTGTGCAAGCCTGTGTTGCTATGCTGGTGGGGTATTTCAGTCAGTGGGAACTCAATAGGGTAGTGGTCTTTACCCTTAAATGTATATACTGTACTGTTTTGATGCACTATAAGGGCTCCCAAGGAAGTTCACAGTGCTAGTACAAGGCATCCACAGTCATTTCCCCATAGTGCAGAGGAATATGGATGGAGGAACAGCCTGGCAGACTAACTGTATCACTTGTCAGTACCTTCCAATTAGGCAGCTCATGCGCCCTACTTTATAGAGAACAATCCTCTGTTTGAAGGTATCCTCTACATGAAAAACTATTTGATGCAGGTCCAATTTAAAGATAATGAACTCTAAGGAGGAAGAAGCTCCCTGTCCAAATTTAACATCTGAGGAGCAGGCAGGGTAGCATGCACACAGACTCACAGTCCTTACTACGTACAAGTTTTATGCAAATCGATGTGGCTTTTAGTTCTATTTTTGGATGCGACTCCTTTTTCTGGTGATGCCTATGTGGCCATCCTACTTCCAAATTGCTCGATGGATACAATCAGAGGCTGTCAGATTCTTTGATGGATAACATACTGTAGGAAATGGTGTTTATCAGTGACACACACACCCCATCTGAACCACTGTCTAAAAATCGGGAGGGGGGGAGAGACCCAACACTCCCTCAAAAGTCAGCAGTTTAAGACACCAGGTCTTTTCTTGTCAGAAACCCCATGGTTTCAGACAGGAAGTCTTTTCCAGCTTTCCCTGCAGATGCCGGAGATTAAACCTGTGACCATTTGTGTGCACATCATGACCTCTACAACTCAGCCACTACAGCACTCCCCTCTTAATTTCTCCCCTGTGCCACCATTCTCGGTACCATTACTGATACCTGAAGGACTTCAAAAGTGGAGAAAACAACTGTAGAATTACAACTGAGGCTTGCTCAATTCTGACTGGGTAGGTTTATGGCTGCTTGGATCAAACAGAACAGCTCACTGCCAAAGAACTGGCTGAAAAGCTCCTGCCATTCACCTGCCGGTGTCCTCTGAAGCAGCAGCAAGGGAGAGCCTCCAGCCCCCTGAACCCCAGTGGCTTGTTGTAGCCAAAAAGAGAAGAGCTCAGAATGGTTACTCCAAAAATAATGCATTACAATCAGCAGGATTGTGGCAAAAAATTTTTTTGGTACAATAACTAAAAATGGCACCCTTCTGCAATAGTAACTTTTCATAGAATCATAAAATCATAGCATCATTAAGTTGGAAGGGGCCTATAAGGCCATCCAATCCAATCCCCTGCTCAATGCAGGAATCCAAATTAAAGCAGATCTGACCGATGGTTGTGCAATTTTCTCTTGAATGCCTCCACCACTGGAACACCTCCTAAGGTAATTTATTTATTGGACTTATATACCGCCCCATAGCGCTACAAGCACTCTCCGGGCGGTTTACAATTTTAATTATAAAGGCTACACATTGGTTCCATTGTTGTACTGCTCTAACAGTTAATCCTTTTTGTCATCCTTTCCATCACCCTTTTTGACACCTTTATTCCCGTCTGTTTTAATTTACCCTGTTTGGCTTGTATTAATTAATTTATTTATTTTTATCATGTTTTAATATTGTTGTTTATGCTGCTGTTTGCCGTCCAGACTGGCCTGGTTGCCAGATGGTGCGGGGTACAAATCCAATCAATCAATCAATCAATCAATCAATCAATCAATCAATCAATCTGAAGCTTCTGGCTTACAGTAGTCAGTAAGCCATCACACAAAATCCAGACATTTGCTTCATATTAATTAAAATATTTGGAAGTAGCAAGGGTGGCCTTCACTGCTCAAAAAAGCAAGCCATTAGTAAGGGAGTTACTTTTGATGTGTTACTTTCAATGACTGGAAAATACCGA